TGTGAGACTACGTAGACGAAAGGGTTCAAAATGCCAAAGTTGGATTCGATCAACCAAGGACTGCTTGCTAAAATAGATGAAAAATATCCATATGAGAAGGATAAACACGCTAATGATCGCCATTTTCTGGAGAGTCTATGCTGTAACAGGGATGAAAGGGAGACAAGGAAGATAATGAGAACTTTTGATTTTCACTTTTGGGTAGTACCATGACATGTTTCAATTGCTCACGAATTATCGGTCAAAATGAGATTGTGGTTATTATTTTTTTTGTTGAAATTTCAATATCAAATAATAATTCAATTTTAGTTGTAACACGTCATTTGATTGGGTAAACGGTTTTATCCATTTTGTATAACATAACTTGCCTACGTCACAATGAGTTACGTCAAAAACGTATTACTCCGCTTGATGTTAACTTTTAAAATATCTATATTTGAAGCCTTTTTCCGAGGGAACAAATGGAAAAATTGTCTCATTGTCTACACTGAAATTAAATTATAAGGAATGAAGCTTATTTCAACTTTTGTTATACGATATAACATAACTTGCGGCAGTTTACGTTTTTATATAAACCGCTTCGCGGTTTATAAAGCGTTCAATTTTTATATCGTATAACAAAAGTTGAAATAAGCTTCATTCCTTAAAGATACATGAAAATACCTCTGAAAAATAAAAAATCATTCTGTTTACAGAGTTTATTCTGAATTTTTTTCCTTTCAGTACATAAACTTTTTACTGCTGAAAGACGATTATAAATTGAAATAAAAGGCATTTGACGTAAAAGGTAAAAAAAAAAAAACAAACAAACAAAAAACCCTGTAATCAATTCCGTAAATAAATATATATCATACTTAGACCCCTAAAAATCTACAGGTAGGATCAGGCCTGGGGGTCATAAAACTTAGCTCACTTTTGAACTCAGTCTCACTTTTACCAAAGTAATATATAATGGGAAAGTGAGACTGAGATCAAAAGCAAGCTCGTCTAAGTTTTATGGCACCCAGACCAGTTCCTTTGGAGGAGAAAGCTTAACACTGTCTGAATGGACAAAGTGGTGGTAACACCTTATACCCAATGAAATGGCTTAAACAAATCAAGGAAAAATCTGTAGTCAAAGTACAAACAAAATAAAAGTTGTAATTTCAAACAATGAACAAGAAATTTGAGAATTAGAATGCTTTCTAGGAAAAAAATTGTGCATTCTTTGCAATGTCATGGCAACAACCTGCTTCTACATTTCTACATGAACTATTCGATTTTCAGCATCCTTTTTTATAAACAAATGTCTTTTTTTCTAATTTTTTTTTCTTTGAATGATGTGATAAAAAAATTAATTGCACGAAGCTCAGATAACAAAATCAATCACACTATTGTTACTCAAATAATTTCGAACTGATGAGAGAAATGGCTGAATTGCTTTACGTACCATTCTTAGGAACTAAAATACCTTATCTTAGACTCGTTAATGCTTATGATGCACGCCTTTATAATCATTTTTCTGATATGCTCAATTCAACGTTTACTGTTTGGTGCAATAATAGATGTAATGTGTTCAAAGGAATCTAATATACATTTGATTATTTGAGTTTTATTTTTCGGCACTAAAAACTAACACCTTAATTCAAATTTCAGTTTTTTTTTAAAATAACGTGATTGCTAACAGTTTATAAATGCTAGTAGTTCATATCAAATTATCGCAAAACATCAAAATTGTGCTGAAACTCTCGATTTACGCGCCAATGCAAGCTGGGACGCTCATAAAGAGATTAAATATATTGTCTCAACTATATGGTATTCCCTCCATAAAACTTAAGTTTTGCCAAAAATGCATGTACAATTCCCAACATAATTTTCCATTTCTATCTTAAAGGTACTTGGACACAGATTTGAAGTTAATTTTTTCTCTATAATATTACGAATTATATATTCTAATGTGTCAGGATGTGTCAATCAAACCAGTCCAAAAATTTGAAGTTTTGATAACTTGTAAATGAAATAAGATTTTTAATTAATTTTTGTGTGAAATGCTATTAAAATATATAATTCGTGATATTATACAGAAAATATTAACTTTAAATCTGTGTCCAAGTACCTTTAAACTGTAGCTCTTATTTTTACTTCGTAAATACACCTAAATCAGTTTTGTCTGCTTTGTCTGTTACTAATTAATGACGAGTCGAACGAGCTTACTTCAAGTAATCTACATGAGACACTATAATATTTTAACAAAGGACAAACCTGATTAAAAGCATTGACGCAATACTTACTGCATGATTGAAGGTAAATGAACAATACAGTACTCGTTTTTTTTTTATTTTCTTGGAATAGACAGTACATGTGTCTGAAATTTTATAAGACTTCAGTTAAAAAAATGCTAAAAGCTATGCTATTAGTTATAAAAAAGACAGTATAGTGCGTAATATTATTGGAAATGGTAAGGAAAATGCAGATTAAAACTTGACTTGAAATGAGCAAACACAGAAAAAAGCAGAAGTTGACGCTATAATAATTTCAAATAAAAAACTAGTGCTAATTGTAACGGGGACCGTTACAGATGTTCCCCAAACGCTCCCCAACGTCCATTTGGTGTCATATTCCCTGTAAGCTTCATTAAATAAGACACACTCTATGCATTTAACACTTTAAAATGTTTACCTAAAAGTGTATCAAGTTCATTCAAATTTGAGCATTGCACGCGTGTGCATGTGAATGCATGTGCGTAATGATCATATCATCTTGTCTACACAATATTAAAGTATTTAATTCAAAAGTATTAAAAAATACGCTCATTCAAGTGTATTTTTGAATTTACTCAATTCACGTGCACGCACCTGCATACATGAGCATTGTGACCATACCTTCTTGTAGAGGTCCATTACAACTATCTATGTTCTAAATCCCACCCCGTTTGGTTGAAAACCAAGGGAGTTATAGCTGTTTAAGGTTTCAGCCAATCAGATTGCAGCACTTGTACACGCACGTGTATGCATGTGCATAAAGACCATACCTTCTTGTAGAAGTTTATTATATTTATCTATGTTCCAAATCCCATCCTGTTTGGTTGAAAACCAAGGGAGTTATAGCTATTTAAAGTTTAAGCCAATCAGATTGCAGCGCACGTGCATGCACGTGTTTTCATGATAATTGCTATATATCATGTTGTAGGATATCCTAATGTATGGCAATGTTCAAAATTTCAAAAGATTTCGTCAAAAAACAAGAAAGATATTGAGACTTTAGTTACAGCCAATCAGAGCGAAGCGCACGTGCATGCACGTGAGTTCTTGCTATTTTGACCATTTCCTCTTGCTTTAGCTTCTAAAATATCCTTATATTATGAGTTTCAAAGCATTTCATCAAAAATGAGAAAATTTACGCCAATATCAATTAAATCGGTCATTTCACGTGTTGCACGTGCCCGCTCTTGCAAGCACGTGCGCGCAAAATGACCTTGATTCCGCAAATCTACATAACATGTCTACCAACCCTAAAAAGGTTTTACCTACTTCAGGTGAACAGTTTACAAGATCACTCGCGGACAAAAAAGTACCCAGGAAGAAGAAGAAAAATAATAATAAGAAACAGAGTAAAAACAATATGTTCCCCAACTTCGTTTGGGGAACATAATAATGAGTGTAACTTCATATAAGGAATAGTAGTTCGTAATGTTATATAATGTAATGAATAATTTTTGTTTGTACGGTAGAATCATCCTCGGGGGACCCTCAATACTTCGTGCTGCTTCAGAGAATCTTTACTAACCTTTGGATAATATGGTCTTCATGGTTGACAGAAATAGGGAATCTCATATTGTTTATGATAATTAATTCTTGGTGTAGTTTTCTGAATGCTGCATTAGAAAACTACAAAAGTTATGTTTATGTTTAAATGGCCTTTATTTAGAGATGCAACATTTCATACAGATAGGGCGATGTGCATTGATAGGACGCTACATGATTACACTATATAATATTCTACTGGGAAAAATGTTTTTAAAAAGTTACTCTTTGGTTGTTGAACGGTAGACATTCTCACCAGGTTTTATTGTGTCGCCTGCGGAGCAGAGCGGCACAAAGGGATCACTATACCCGGCGTGTGTTTGTCTGTATGTCTGTCAGTCTGTCACACCTTGTATCTACAGGAAATAAAGAGATATGGAATTGATATTTTGCACAATTATTGGTTGGCACTATGGCATTGTAAATTACCATGGTTACCGACCTCGTGACCCTTGACTTTGTCCTTTGGGCCACTTTACTAAAAAGTTAAAAGTGACAATATGTAGCATATTTTTCCACATTTAAAGGGTAATTATATGCTATTTCGCATGAGCATTGATTATCATAAAACGTTATGAAAAATTCCAGCGTTACAATTCACTTGACCTTGACCTTTGACCTACTTTACAAAGAATACCCCTGACAATTGAATTTAACGTAAGACTTTTCAATTTTGAGTTGCGGGTGTTGATTATTAACAATTTTACATGTATGAACTCTCATGCTAGTTTTTTTTTTTTGCATGAAACTGTATTTGCAAGTTGCATATAAAAAGCTGACCACTCTTAAACTTAGTCAAAGGCAGGCGACACAAGCTTTTCCTGGAACACTCTAGTTTTAATTATGTAAAGATTACCAACAAAAAAAAAGAAAAGATTAAGCATTAAATTTAAAAGTTAGCAATATCTTAATTAAAATAAAAGATTTTTCAGAAAGTTTCATTACGTTTGCTTGGTGTTCATCATGTTTCTTACAGAAAATTGTAAACTTCTGGTAATGAGAATGGGAGACGCTTGTTTGAATGGCAAGGAATCATTAGCTTTAACGAATAATCAACATCTTTATTCAATTTTCTTATTCATGGCATTTTGTTATCTTTAATATAAATTAAATTCTCTGTGAAACATAACATCAAATAAGCAATTTAGAGAGATTTATATTAAAATTGGTATTTTATTCCTCATTTTCCCCCCTTTTCCTTGTTTAACAAATACATGTATATACAAAAACAATCCCCAGCATGCAAAAGAAGTATTCAATTCAATTCCCGTATAAGTATTACTGATGAAGTTTTATGTTCATATTTTTACTATGTAGTCGTAGACTAGAAACATGAATTCATATACAGTTTTATTCACCATCTTCAAAACTCTCAAAATGTCCTTTCCAGTCATAGATCTTAAAGTAATAAGCATGTTCAAGGTAGAAATCAAATGCAGGCTGAACCACTTTCGTGTAGCAGCCCGGCAGTGATGAGTAACTTTGTCCGGTTGGATACCGATAGGTCACGTTCCATGGAATAGTGCAGGTAGGTGGGTTGTCGACGTTAAATGACGTGAAGGAGACATCAACAGCCTAGAAAAAATGACGATACGTGTATTACTATATCAACATACTGTTGCCATGGATTTTTTTTTTTACAGACAATGCTCATGTTTAAGTTAGGTTTATATCAATACATGAACATCTATGTGTTTTACAGACAGTTGTATTTACAGACAGTGTTCTTTTCATAATTAGCCCCCATCCCCCAAAACAAGAAAAATATAAATAAATAAAATACATAAACAGTTTCAATAATGAATTGAAAAAAGTCTTCTTTTTTTTCGAATGATCTTATACTAGTATACATGTACGAAAGAATGAATAATAAGAATATTAAGAAGAATGTGAAGATGAAGATTCAATAAGTTTTTGTAAACTATTCGCATTCTGTCATATGGCTTGATAAAACCACTGATGAACAAAATATTATTTAATTTCAGAATTATTGATTATCTTGAATGACAGTTTAAAAAGTAAAAAACACACTATTTTTTATACTCACACAGGCTACTTTAGGATCAGGTGGATATCTGGGATATCTAACATTGAATACCAGTTTACCGTGGTCACATGTTGAGATATTCATACTCTTTGTATTATTTACTGGAGTTCCAGGAACAAGCTTTGGTGTTCGAATTGTAGCTTTACATCTATAAAAAGTTTTTTATAATCATTAAAAATAAATGATAAATTGCAAAATTCTCCATTCGCCAAGAAAGTAAAACGATGCAAGTAAGGTGTATTCCGCCAAAATATATATGGCTGAAATATGACTCGGTGTAAAACAATGTACCATAAATCAATCATAGAATTTGAAATCAGAAACTTGATAAATACCGTATTGGGATATATAGGAGCGTAAAGGGCTCTGCACTTGTTGTGTTATAACTTTCTTATATTCTATCGTCTTATCAACAGATAGAGTGTAATAACTCCTTAATTATACACATATTCTGATTTGTATTAAGGTAGGATTCCTTTCTGGTTTCTGTGTAGATTAAATATTCAATGTATATTTGCTTATATGTTTTATATATTTAGGTGAAAGAAATTTAAAAGACCATATTTTTTTTTCCTCATCACAACTGTACAACTTTACATAGAAATCATAAATTGTGTTCGAAAACAAGCAGGGACTATATTTTTGGCGGAATGGTGGCGTATGAAAATATCTTCTTTTCTGCCTCTCAAAATTATTATAGAACAACGAATTTAGTTATGTTTTACACAATCAAGGACTAGAAGAATTTTTCAAATGTTAGCTAAATTAATAATAAGGAACTTAAGTTTTAAAATATATTAAATAAATATGAATTTCCATACAAACTACAATTATGTTAGGTTTTACTAGTTTTTAATCTAAGTACAGATATGAGCCAAAAATTCATAAAAAGTGTTTTTACTCTTTTACTGAACGGTCAAAACATTTTGTTTTTGTATCATTTTATATCTCTAAATGACTTCTTTACCATATGTGAAAATAAGAAAAATTCAAATATAGGGCACATATAAGAATAACTTAAATATCCTAAAATTTTAAGAAAAATAGAGGAAATTCGGATTAGCCAAAATCCATTTTTGTTAAACTATTTGTGTCAATTTGGTAATATCATCTTGTTGACCGTATATGGTACATGTGTAATATCTTTTTAAGCAAAAAGAAAAACATTAATCTTTTGAAATAGAAAACCCTATCTCATGATTGGATGCAGTTATTTTTAATCTTAATGACCAGGTAAAAGGTAATGACCTTGACCTGACCTTGACTCTAAAATGATACTTAAAACCATCACTTAGTAATATTGTCTTCTTTATTCTGTTAAAATTGTATTAATTTTGAAAGATACAAGAAATACAGTTTTGTGTGAGAAGAATCCTACCTTAAGATGTTTTTACATCATTATAGACAATGCCTTTTGTTCAATAGATTTTATTACTTAAAAGTTTATCGACTGATATATTATTTTCAGATATCGATCAAGACATTATATCTAATCATTTCAATATAGTATTGTCGAGATAAAAAAAAATCAATATAAATATATAAATATTTGCGAGAAAGAAATAAGGAAATAGTGTTTTTGAATTAACTTTGTCAATGTTGGGGACCAATCACGTGAATTGTTTACACTGGATGCATAAATCTGCGTAACATGAAACTTTAAAACGTAAAGCAATAAAATCTATTAAACTAATAATGAAGTTGTTAAAGTATTTCAATACAATTCAAAATATATGTATGAAACATATGGAGATAACAAACAGTATTCAAGATCAAAAGTCCATAAAACAATACAAAATAGGAGCAGAGGAAACACGGACCTCCGAAACATCAGAGGTGGGATCAAGGGCCGTGTGTTCCTTGTCTTGATTTCGAAATAACGAAAAAAATTCAATGTATGAATAATGGACTATCAATTATTATGAAAAACGTCAATCAGTATTTGATTCAATGATAAATTGTATTTGCTGACAAAGTCATTGTATTGACCATAGAACTTACGAAATGATGACTTTAAACGAGACTGTTGATATTCTTGTTTCATTAACTTGTTTGTCAACAATTTATCTCGTTATAAATAAGGAGTTATACTTTTTATGTTAATAAGACAATAGAATATAAGACAACATACAAAGTTATAACACAACAAGTGTAGAGCCCGTTGCGCTTCCGTAGATATATAATGTTTTTATTTATTTTACTTACAGATTTAGCTTGTCATTGCTTGTAACATAGCATCATATAAAAAAAACAAACCCTCCGAAGGGACCATGATCCACAGAAATCAGGAATCTCATTTTCTCTATCACCACTTTTACAGACTTTTTCTCCTCAGTGAAACTCAGTGTCTGAAAAACTAACAGCACAACCAGAATTCCTGTAGTCATTCTCATCTTTAACAAGTTCAGCGTACGTTTATTATCTCAGGATGGTTTTATTTTTGTATTATCCCTGTTTAACACTACGGAGTTCTGACTATCTGTTGATAAGAATTGGTGTAAAGGTTTATACATATAGAGTAAGAAGTACTTATCGGATGTAGGTTTATGTCGAAAAAAAAATTGAACGTTCTTATTTATTATAACTTTTTCTACATTGTTTAATTATCAAGCTTAATTAAAGAATAAATATTTTTATTCAAATAGGAATTTCTTTATACAGTACTGCAGTATCTTGGTATATAATTTTGATTATCGTTTATAGATAATATTTATTTTAATTCAAGATGATCATACAAGGATATCAATGTTCTTTTTTAAAATTAGATTTTCGACAGTGCTGTTGTCGATACAACAAGCTTCCTTGAAAATAAAATCCAGTTTAAAACTGTACTGTATGTTGACTGACATTTTTCAAAAAAATAGGCCATTATTTCATGCTAAATCATCTGTGGATTTTCCTGTTTACCCAAGTATTACAAGTGGTACACGACTGGTAGACAGTATATGCTACTCCTCGACGTCACCTTATTCTACCTATGAGCTCCAAGTTTTGTTCCTATCTTCATATTCAATATTGACAATCCTAAAGAATTAAATATAGGTAAGACGTACCTATGACTAGATTTGTCTCTCTTTTAACGACAAATTTTTAAGACATTATAACGAACAGTATTCAATATCAAAGTCCATAAAACAATACAAAATAGAACAAAGTAAACACGGATCTCCGAAACATCAGAGGTGGGATCAGGTGCCATGGGGGAGTGAGCATCCCCTGCTGACCGGTCACACCCGCCGTGTGCTCTTGTCATGACCGGAAAATAAGGGGAAAATCCGTCGTCAATTCAGTGTATAAATAATGGACTAACAATTAGTTTGAAAAACGTCAGTCAGCATTTGTCTGAATGATAAATTGTATTTGCTGTCAAGGTCATTATATCGACCATAGAATTTACGAAATGATGACTTTCAACGGGACTGTTGATATTCTTGTTTCATCAACTTGCTTGTCAATAATTTACCTTGTTTTAGAAATTGTTCATACGCAGAGCATGCTCTTGCGTATCGAATCAACTGAGATATATACACTCCGTATGCAAGTGATGAAGGTATATTGCTGCATAAGTAAGGGAAGTTGACGATAGAAAAGTTAAAGTCATCACGTTTATCACATAGCTTGGTTGTTAGATTACAATTAACGTCTTTTCCAAGTATGAAACAGATGTGTCAGAAAGAAGTATAAAGATACGAACAGTATGCACGTTCATTAAGTCCATTCAAAATAATACAAATCAAAAATAGAGCAAACACTGATCTCTAAAACATCAGAGGTGGATTACATGCATCCCTTCCTCGTGATGTTCGGGTAAAACAGAAAAATCCATAGACAATTTAGTGTGTAAATAACGATTTAATATTTAGTATGCTAAAATAATTAAGTGGGCATTTGATTTTATTTGTTGACAAAGTCCTTGTGTCGCCCTTAGAACTTTCCACATATACTTGAAGCGAGAATGTTGATATTCTTGTATTTTTTGGACTTGTTTGTGAAATACATTAAGAAAGAGAATACATGGGATCAGGTGCCATGCAGAAGGGAGCATTCTCAGCCGACCCGTCACATCCACCGAGTGCTCTGTCATGATCGAGAAATAGAAAAAGAAAACTCTGTAAACAATTAAATATGTTAATAATGATAAATATGATTTTTAAAATAAATAATGGTAGGGTTTACGATAGCTCAGTCAAAACAGCGTTCGCACCGCGATCGGAAGGTCGCGAGGTCGAATCTCGGCCGTGACTTAACCAAGTCGCATGACCCTAATGAAATACTAACTGAATTCTATGAATTATTCAATAGCGTACTTGACCAGCATGCACAGGTTAAAACAAAACGAGTAAAGAGTGAAATCCGTCCTAAATGGATGACACGAGAAATAAACAATGCTAGACATTTACGGGACTCTTACCACAAAGAAGGAGACATGGAGAACTATAGAATTTATCGAAACAAAGTTAGCGTTCTTATAAACAAATCAAAATCTTCTTACTATAAAACAGCGATTGAACAGAGTTCAAATCCCAAAGAAATGTGGAACTATCTTAATCAATTAACATGTAATCTTAAGAATACAACTCCATCTCATGTGTCTTCTAATGGGGAAATTGTTGAAAATTTACAAGATATTGCAAATACTTTTAATAACCACTTTACGGATGTCTCTAACAAGCTTCTTTTGGAAATGCCAAAACATGATTATGATCCTAATATATTATGTAATTTTGTTAGGTCTAAGCTTGATGAGAAAACCTTGTTTAGTATTCATCAAATTGAGGAAAGTGAAGTTTTTAACATGTTAAATTCTCTAAATGTCAATAAATCAGCTGGCATTGACATTATTGGGTTCCATCTTTTGAAAGTCACATCTAAATATATATGTATACAATAACTCATTTTATTAATGCTAGAATAGAAAGTGGTATTTTTCGGACAAATTTAAAACAAGCCAAAGTAACACCTATTTTTAAGTAAGGTGACAAAGCTGACCCGAATAATTATCGTCCTATTTCTTTTCTACCAACTATATCTAAATTGATAGAAAAACATGTAGCTAAGCTAGTACAAAATTTCACTAATGAATTTGATCTACTAACACAATCCCAGTCAGGGTTTAGAGAACTCCATTCCTGTCAAACTTCATTTACAAAACTAACAGAAAGTTGGCTTACTGCAATGGATCGTGGTGAACTAATCGGTATTACATTTATAGATTTTAGTAAAGCATTTGATTTAGTGAATCATGATATTCTTCTAGAGAAATTAACCCATTACAAATTTGACCAAACAGCTATAAAGTGGTTTAAATCATATCTTTACGATAGGACCCAGTGTGTTAAATTTGGATCATGTGTCTCCAATATTCTACCCGTCACAGCAGGAGTGCCACAAGGGTCAATTTTGGGCCCACTTTTATTCTTATTGTACATAACTGACCTTCCATTACATGTAAACAATTCAAATATTGATATGTTTGCTGATGATGTAACTCTGTATTCTAATAATAATAATGCAAGATGTTTAGAAAATACACTAAATTCAGACCTTAGTGAGATTGAGAAATGGTGTGCTCAAAATCAAATGGTTTTGAGTGTAGATAAAACAAAATGTATGTTAATGGGAACACAGCAAAGAAAATCAAAATTAGATAATCCAAATTTACAACTTTATGCCTCAGACAAAACAATTGAAATGGTTGAAACTGAAAAAATTCTTGGTGTACATATTGATGATAAGTTACAGTATGCAAATCATATGGATTCGGTTTGTAAAACGGTAAATTATAAGTTATTTACTCTTCGAAGGATTAAAAATTTCTCCCTCTACATACCAGAAAACTATATTACAATGCTTATATTTTACCATCCATTAACTATTGTTTGACTATCTGGGGTAATGCCCCCAAGCAGGACATGGACAGACTATTTAAATTACAGAAAAGGGCAGCAAGGATTATTCTTGACGCAAGTCCCGATTCTTCTTCTAAACCACTGTTTGAGAAACTTGGATGGTTAACAGTTTATGAGCTAGTTGATCTATACAAATACATATTATTATACAAAATTTTCAGTGGAACGACTCCCCAGTATCTTTGTAATTTATTTGAATTTCATTCTACAACGTCTTATAACCTTCGATCTGAAAGTAATTATGATCTAAGATTGCCGAAATTTCGTACAAACTTATTCAAGACCTCTTTTCAGTATTCAGGTGTACATCTATGGAATAAACTTCCCCAACACATTAGACTCTCTCAATCACTACGAACATTTAAGCGTAATATAGAAAATTACATCATCAGCTGCCGCAGAATTATTTGAGCACAATAAGGTTTCGATATTGTATATATATTGTATTATGATTGTTAATTAACTATACATGGACCCTATATTCATAATCGTGTGATTGTAATTCCTTAAACATATTACTATTATATATGAAGAATTGTATTCTGTATATTTTTGTATTTGATATATATAGAAGGCCCTGGGGAAGAATAGTGCATGCACTAACCAGGTTACCTTCTTTAAATAAAGTATTTATTATTATTATTATTATTATTATAAAAAATAGGTAGAAGTTTTCCTTCGCCACGCGCTTGGCACTTTGAAGTTATTAAGTTTTGGGTCCTTCGGATAAGATCTTAAAACTTAGACCTGGTGTCACGGTATGAATTGGAACAATAAAGATTACCCACGACTCAATGGCTCCGAGTGCCGAATAAGGTCAAAACGTGTCTATATGAATGAGAAACACTCAAATGGGTTTCAAAAACACACAATCAATCAATCACTAATAGCCTCACAAATAGTATGAAAAATGTTCTTCAGCATTTGATTTTATGAAAGATTATATTTACTGACAATAATTTTGTATTGACCATGTAACTTGCGAAATGACGAGAAATTAAAGAGAGGTTGATATTCTTGTTTTTCCAAATTGTTTGTTAATATCTTTCCCCGCTTAAGAAAACGTAACATATGCTATTACGAAACATTTGAGTGTAAAGAGGGTCGACAATTGCAAAGTTGAATTCATCACGTTTTTCACAAAGCTATGTTGTGCAGTTGCCACTATAAACGTCTTTTATCTCGTAAATTATCGAGATATGAAAGAAATGTGTCAGTCTTTGTGATATATTCTATTCAAAGCTCACTTGGATACATCGATTCGACATATGAATGAAAAATTGTTACCAACAATCGTTATTGATAATACGTGGTACATATATCTAAATGTTGAGTTGAAGGTCACAAATGCGTTAATTCTTCTATTTGTAATTGTCAAAATCTTGCTAATTTTAAATTGAATGATGGTAACTATGTAAATGTTAACATTGCCTGCTTGCTTCATTTGACGACAAACTGCTTTAATTAAGATAAAATAGTAATATATCCATCACTATGTTGTGGATCAAATTAAATTCCATTGATATAGTTGAATTGTTGCAATTATTGGTGCCAGCAT